GGTCTAAGATGAAATAGATGATCATAACTGCTATACTTGGAGATGCATTTCATGGCACAATTTGTACACGACCTGTGCAAGGTCACTTCATGGAAAAAGGACTGGCGTGATGGGTAAGAAGCAGATTCCAGCTTTCAGTCTTAAAGAACTTCAGGGTAGCCCATTGAAGCTGGCTCTATTTAGTGCCACACAGCAAAAAAGACCACACGCACACACATTTTATGTTTAAGTGGTATATATTAGACATATTCTGGAATAGAGTTCTCTCTCTGGCTTGGATTTTGTCAATCAGAGACATAGCAGGAATTATTGTTTGAACTGTTGGTCACTAGGGACAATCGTTTGTCCTGGTGTAAACCTCAGTGCCAAATGCAAAGTCCTGGGTTCCAGACAGACCACATGGCTGTAGTCTTCTTGGTCTTTGTATGGGCGGTGCTCTCAGCTCATTTTCACCCTGGCAAAAATCCTTTCCCCGTCCATTTACAACATCAACTCTCTTGTAAATCCTGCCTCAGTACCCCCAGAAAGGGTTACCTTCTTCCCTGTGGATTCATGGCACTTTGTATCACTGTTTTTAGTAGACTATTTATCAGATCAATTATCTGTTAATTTATTGTCTCCACCACCAGCATATGAAGGCATATATGAGGCTACTTAAAAATGCTCCTGGAAAAATGGACTAGGGAAAAAAATTGAAACCCATGCACAGTTTTTTCACAATATGCAATCTTCATGAATATCCTGAGGATTTCTTTCATTTTTTTTTTAAGATTTACCTATTTATTTATTGGAAAGGCACAGTGAGAGAGAAAGACAGAGACACAGAGAGATCTCCTATCTGCTGGTTCACTCCCCCAATGCCTACAACAGCCAGTACTGGGCCAGGCCACAGGCATAGGCAGGGAGTCCATCTGGGTTTCCTACCTGAGTGTCAGGGAACGTATTTGCGCCATCATCTGCTCCTTCCCACGCACATGACCAGGGATGCTCTATCAGAAGCAGAGCAGCCCGGATTTGAGTCAGCCCTAGGATATGGGATGCCACTGTTGCAAGCAGGGGCTTAACCAGCTGTGCCA